AAAACGACTTACATGTACGTGTACACAATATAACAAAGAGAAAGTTGTACATGTAGGTACGTGTACTGTACATGTATTATTTGCTACCTACAAAAAAGTACATGTAGAGCTTTAGCCTTTTTATTGAACTGTACATGAACATGTAATTGTACTTTTAATATTTATAATTCTTCATTCCTCCTCCTCTTCCTCCTCCAGGTGGATATTGATGGTCACCCGTACCCAGTGAAGTACCAGGAGAGTATACTGAAGCACTTAAGAACAGGTACTAACGCCCACTCACTATCAGCTGATAGACCCACTGATGATACTGAGGACTATGATGAATATATGAGGAAACACTTTGCACAGTTTGATAAAGAACGGAAAACCTTTCAAGAGAGGAACAGGAGATCAACCCAACCCATTGCCATGCCCACCGAGAGTGACGTAACACCTTCCTTATTAGGAGTTGTGGCTCCACCCACTAACACAAGTACTAACGATACGGCACAAGATAACAGGTAATTGAAATTAAATAATTAATTAAAATACAGTATAGTGTAAATTTTCGAGGGCTATAAATTTTGCAAATTTGCCTAAAAACCTATTATGCAAATTTAATTTTCATAAATTTATGCCGTCTGCCATCTTGTGTCCTAATAATTTGATTTTTGAGGAAGTAATTTTCACAAATTTTTAAAAAATTTCAAAATTTGCAAAATTTTGGCACTATACGGTAATTTTTGGTCCTAACCCCACCCCCTGCAGTGCTCCTGATGAAGTGGTTGATATTATTGAAGGAGATGGTGGAGATCAGAACATTCAGAACATGCTCTCGTCCATTGTCTATTCACTGGGGCTGGACGAGAGTGAGACACTGGTTGCCATTAGCAACTGGCACAAGAGGCACATTCTACCAACAATTGACTCTGCAACCATCAGGTACCACTGGACATGAATTTATTTATTTATTTGTTTGTTTGTTTGTTTGTTTGTTTGTTTGTTTGTTTGTTTACAGTTCAGAGCAGGCCAGGTTGTATGAGTTACGGTCACTGGAGAATGAATGGATAGAAACTGAATCAAATAAAATAATACAATTACCAACACCAGTGAGGGAATATATACTGTACACTTGTACATGTTTGTTCACTTTAAATTGTGTATGTTGATTTTGTCGGTTAATAAAATAATAAAAATGGAGGATTCTCTCTTTTTCAATTTTGGTTAAATTTGGTCTGTCACCCTATGCTATAGTACAGGGACTTTTGCCCAATTTTAGAGCAACTTTAAAAATTTATAAAAAAATCCAAACTTGATTTGAATCAGCTCAATATTGTATGAAACCTAAACTTGATTGATATCCCCTCAAATTTTCTCCATAATATACACGTACATTTATATACAATGTACATATACATGTACATTGTATACATTGTATGTGTTACATGTCCTATTAGTATATTCTCTCATTCCTTTTGTCCTATAGGTTCCTTCCCCTCCGACTCCAGAGGGTCGGTCATTGAGAAGTGGTCGTACAATAGACACTAGGGAGTTCAGTGGATATTATGAATATGAGGAGGGGGAGAGGGGAGGGGCCAGTCCTCCTGTCCATGAGGGGGATAGTGACAGTGACGCTCTCATTGATGAGGGGTGGGACACTGGGAGGTAACCATTAGGATTATTAATTGAATTAATTAATTAATTAGTGCAAAAACGCTCATAACTTGAAAAATATTTATCAGAATCAGTTCAAACTTTCTACACAGCATAAGGACATCAATATGTAT